TGGGGGGGCGCTGCCCGTTCCCTGGCCTCCCGACCTGGCCCATGTGCTGGCACATTGGGGCCGTGCTCCTGTAGCAGAGCCTGAAACAACATTTTCCCTCTCCGGGCAGCAGGATCCTCCTTTCCCCGGTCGTCGGCGAGCACGGGGTGGGAAGGGATGTGGAGGATGAGGAGAGACGGGCAGAGGACAACTAACCCCTCGCAAGGACCGGCTCAGCCTTCAGCCTCGCCAGCATGGGGGATACCCATGCAGGATCCTTCGAGCAACGAGGGAATCCCCTCGAGCCTCTCCTGTGTCCCCAGCCCGGTGCCCAAATCCCGCTGCTGCCTCCCAGCCCTCCGCCCGCTCCAGCCTCGCGCCTCTCGCCTGCTCTGCGAGCCCGAGAGCCGCGGGCGTTCAGAAGTTGAGTGTTTAATTGCTCATCGCTGCAGACGGTTGTTCCCGGAGTTCAAAACCATTATTTTTATTAATAGACTCCCCAGGGTTATATAAGCACTGGAAAAAAAAAAAAAAGAAAAAAAGGAAAAAAAAATCCAACACTGCCGTCAAACTCCCCAGCTCGCCGACTCCGATGCTTATGGATTGATGGGCTATTTTCACTCAATGGCGCTAAGTAGGAAAGAGGGCCAGGGGTCCGACCACGGCCTCCACGGCCCCAACCGCCCTTCTCATTTTCCCAGGATCGGACACCTCCAGCACCTGGGAGAATCGGCAGGGTGGAAATGGAAACGTCCTCAGCATCAGGGCGCGGATGACGGCTCAGCTGCCAGCCTGCCGCTTCCCATGTTAAGCTCCCAATCCCTGCAATAAGCCTGTCATTAAAATTAACGCAAATATTCCCCCTAATCCCCCCATCCCACCACGGAGGCCCCATCCTCTCCCGCCTCCTTCGTGGGTAGAGTTGCCTAAAATGTGCCACTAAATCCCAAAACGCTGGACCGGGCACGTTAGGGCCCGGGGAAGGCAGGGAGAGCTGGATGGGCAGATGTGGATGCCAAGTTATCCTGGCCTTGGACCCTGTCCCGGCTGATCTATGAGTGGGATGCAGAGCTCTGCAGGTTTACACTCATTCCCAGACAACCCCCTGGCCCTTTTCCGGGCGCTTCCCAGGACGTCACTTCTGCTGGAGCCCCTCCGCCAGCCGCTTGCCTGAACTGCAGGGATGGAGCCGGAAGGACCCGCGGATTTTCTGCCTCCAATACGGGCAAGATCCAGCCCTGGCTCCTGTCCGTATCGCCCACCGCTCTGCCCGGAGCAGCCGGGCAGCTCTCTGTGCCCAGGCCTGGAAAAAAGGCTTGGAAAGAAGTGGGAAAAGGAGCCTGCCGCACACCCGAGCCAGCCACTCACTGCAAAAAGCAGGATTTAGGCTGCTTTTAAAGTCCTGAGCAAGCAATTTTCCCCTAAACCTTCGCTCAGGCAGGGAAGAGGGATATAATAACCCACCACCCACCAGCGCAAGGTACCGGGAGTGACAGTCTGACGGCTAAAAATACCCCCCTCTCGAGGCACCCTCCAGCGCTGCCCCCGCGCAGGGGCAGCTACGGGGATGCTGCACAACGTGACGGGGCCCTCCAGGCTGCGTTTTAACCCCTCTTTCCTTCATTATAACCCGAGTGCGCTTCGAAACTGGCTCCAGATTAAAGGGGTCCAGACAGGAGTAGGAAAAATGACAAAGCAGCCAGGGTCTTGCAGCAAGAGGGAAACTTGTGCAACTGCTCAGCCCGCGGCAAAGCCCCGTGCGGGCTTGCCCCTTGCACCCACCGCTGGTCACACCACGGCGATACCAGCCTGATCCCCAGGGCACTGACAACATCTGCCTCCAGCTCCTTCCAGCCGAGGTTTGACCATGTTTTCATGCCAGGTTTTGCTGCAGATTGAGTGCCCGGGGATGCCCCCACTTCTGTTGGTGACCAAACGGTGGTGGCTCCTCAGCTGGAAACAGCCCCAGTTCTTCTCCCTTCTGCTCAAGGACTTGCAGCCGCTGAGACCTCAGTTTCTCCCAAATCAGAGGACAGGATGGATGAGACCTTTACACGCGGGCTGGTCTCTTGTGACGCTGTAGCTGTATCCGCAGCAGCTCCGGAGACAACCAGCCCCTCCATGGCCGGCGACAGCCCCTTCGCTTGTGCCAAGCCAAGGGGTGGAGAAGCCACTTGCCATTTGTGCTTATCTAGATGCCATGTCCCAGCTGGTGGCATCTAAATAGGCACCAAGGTCAACACAGGCTAGATTGTCCCCAATGGGCAGAGTGACCTGATGGGCAGCAGCGCTTCCCACCCCATTGTCGCTCAGCCAAAAATCCCGGGATCAACCGGCTCCCATTCACCTTGACCTCCCCAAACCGCCCTGTCTCCGAATCGGGGCCACCCGCTCCGATCCTTTGCACCCCGCGGGCAAAGGGAGCGGGCGGCACATCCAGCCGCTTGCTAATTGCGGCGCTTGCCTTACCCAGATTTGCTCTGCTAATTAGACTAATCTCTCCGGCTGGGAAATGAGCTCCGGTCACCCATCCCTACAGGATCAAGCAAGTTAGACGGTCACTTAACTCACGCCAGGGACCTTAAAAGCGGGTTGTGTTTCCTCGCTGCTCCCGATGGCTCATTGTTCCACCAGACAATAGAAACAGTCGCTAATCTTATGTTTCTCCTCCAAGATGATTCCGAAACCAGGACATCTGCATTGCTCAACTTTTTTGATATGAACCAGATGCAAATAATTAATAAATCCTAAGTCGAGATAATGCGGGAGTCTAAATTTAAACTGAGAAGGGTTTTCTAATGTCGCTGCGTTCCTGCCTCGGAGGGGAAGGAGGAGCAGGGAGCACAGAGGGATTTCCTGGGAAAATTCCTGCT